ATAGAAACGTTTTCATTTCTTATTTTTATATATTGTAACAAAATATATAAAAAATTTTAAATTTTTCATTAATTTCTCGATTTTGCATGAAAAAAAATTACGTAATTTAACTTTCTGTTATAATAAAATAATATCTTTATATATTTTTAACCGGAATTTAATTTCCCTTTGTTTAAATGCGTACAAAAACTAACTTCAACTTTCAATTACGTTGTTCGCATGTTGACACCAGACGACGTCTTCGGCTATATTATTCTTTTCATCAGTTGACTAATGTTCTGCATATAAGTACAGATAGAGTTAAGTGGTTACAGCAATTTGAGGAAATCACAAGAACCGCTTTTCCATGTAGAAAGTAGGTCCAACTGACACTTGTGCGTTGACAGATGACGGTAGCGGTACAGGCATGTTAAGCCGTGTAAATCAACATAGTGTTTTTTATTTTTTTTTCTCGTAGAGTGAAAAGTACTTTATAAAAAAAATGTAGCTTAAAACATCGAAACAAATGTTTAAAAAATTATACAAAAGTAAAATTGCACTAAAGAGGAGATAAACTTTATATAAAAATTTTATGGAGAGTTTATAAGATTCTATCTAAACGAACAGAGGATATTATCGCTAGTACTATCAGTAGCCGAGATTGACTGTATATATATTGCGATAGCTCTAATCAATGAAGTAGCTGAGGGGTACGTTAAAGTCTAGCTCCACCCGAAAACATACACTTGATTGACCATTTGTGATAGTTGCGTGCTTTTCTTTTTTTTTTTACTTTAGTAAATGTGAAATGATATAACTACATCCTGGAACACAAATTTAGATTTATGTACACTTTTCTTTTTTAGAACAGTTTTACAATTATTATACCCAACAGCAATTTACTTGTCCAAAATTGTATACAAAACATAAATGATAATTTAAATCTTTTACGTTAAAAATTATGTTCTTTATAGTAATGTATTATTTATTTATTTATATATATTTTTATACTTTTCCTCTCATTCATTCTATCGTAAAACAGGTTCCATACTTTGTTTACAATCTGACCTTCAACATTTTTCGGGTTTCGATGGTTATCTCGAGAAATACATGCGAAACTCTCTAGATAACAAAAGTTTGGGGATAACTACCTGTTAAAAAAAACGCTAAAGGCAGTTATATAAAGTTTATAGCTTTTTAAAGATAAAGCAGTAAACCACAAATTTTGATACACCCCTATTTTATATCGTGGTCAATCACTAACAGCGTTGTTGGCTCTTATACCTGGAGGTGCTTTTGAAAATAAGAATAATGCTAAGTTTTTTGAATTGACATAAAACTCGGTGGCCTCGCACTATTCAACTAATAATATACTAGACGCGTCAGTTAAGCAAATCCCGACCGTCTTATTCGACAGCTGCAGTTATTAAAGACGAAGTAGGAGGTGTTTGCTTGTCTTCTCTTGCCTTCGGGTGTTTGAATCAAAAAAGAAGAAAAAAAAAATCCCTTCATCCGCGTGTCTAAAAAGTTAAATCATATCCATTCGTAACGTAGCAAAAACCATAGTTATATAAGATTGTTTTTAAATAAGTTATTCTTATTTAATATGTTAATAGCATCGTTTTTGATTCATACGAGAAATTGTCCTTTGTTTACTTTCGTTAATTTTGACTTATTATCGAGATAAAGATCTCTGGCATTGCGTGTCTGCTCAAGTAACGAAAAGGCACATTGTCCTCTTTAATATTCCATCCGTACTTATATTCGACCTAACCTAGAGCTCAACACTATCTTTATCCATTCGTTGTACAGCACTTTGTACTCGGAGGGTTATCTGGAGGTGATGTCAGCCTTTGGGCGTTTGATGCTTTAGTTCGAGGTTAAACTAACACATCTAAACCTCAAACTGATCTGGTAGCTAAAATGAGGAGTTAAAATTTAACCAAAGGTGCTATATAAATCCTCTTATCAGCCGAATATTTACCTCTAACCGTCTACGTCTACTGATTTATTGTTTTTCTATTGGGGAAATAACAGTATAATCTGTTTCCACTTTGACTTCCAAATAATCAATAGCCCATGGCATGGTACGGAAAGTCCATTTCTACGAATAAATAACTATAAATTATTTTGATGTACAGTACGTATCCCATATAGAAAAATCAATTAATGTTAATATTTTATAAAATATCATATTAATAAAGATAAAAATCGGTTTCGATTTTATCTCTATTAATATCAAAGATTACTGTTAAAGCGTAAATAATTAAAGCGGGATAATGTGCCATTTAAGTGAGATATAAACGACTTTCTCAAAACAATTTTGTTTTCTTCACACTAAACGTAACCAATGAAATCGAGACGAATCTGACCTTGTAATTTAAGCCATCACTCAAATACAGACTACGTACTTGGAGTCTTATACGCCAAACACAATGTCTAACGATATCCAATACAACATTCATTTAAAACGTTTATTTCTATAAAAAATTAAGTAACTTATTTGGTATACTCACTGATATTACTTTGTATACAAGATATACAAGAATAAGTTACAAGATGACAAACAAGCACCTACAGCTAACATCAATTAACAAGATTTAAAATAAGAATGCAGCCTACTTTAATCGTGACCCGATACAAAAAACTCAATATCAGATTTCTCCGGAAGAATATCTGAAGTTTAATCCCAAGGTTATAGTCTTGTTAGTTAATTTAAAGAAAATGTCAAACTTTAAATGAGTTACGAGGTTACGGGAGCAAGTAAAACGTAGAGTTCTTATTAATAATTGGGAAAATATTTAATAAATTTGTGCATTATATAAATGAATGGGTTATTGTCCATCTATAGTTTAAAATAGTCTTAAGTAAATAAACATTTGCTCTATTTTTTAATTAATATAGCTAGCAATTATTCCCTACAAACAGTCTGCATTAGTGTTTAGTACACGCTGTATCAAATATTGTAATTAATCGTTTATCAGCTGTCTAATAAAAACTTTAACAGTGCGTAATTTTATTAAATAAATATATGATTACTAAAGTTGTGATAAAACATTTAACTCGTCTAATAAAGACATTTCAATGTTTACATAGCTAATTTTACTACGTTACAAAAACTTGATATAGATTTTAGTAAGTTAGTGGAAAGCTACTGAGTTTTAATCTAAAGAAAAAAAATTATCAATACACTTGTACATTAATAATCTTTATCGAAAAAATTTCCGAACACAGGTAACGCCCTTCATAAATCATTACTTGACACCAGACATAATTTCAGGTTTTTAACATCGAATGTCGGAAGATACAACGGGTGCCATCATAGCTCAGTGGTGAGAGCACTGGTCTTGTAAACCAGGGGTCGTGAGTTCGATCCTCACTGGTGGCTTCGCATTTTTTTTCTTTTATACGATTCCTTTTTTATATCTTTTGGAAATAACTAACACAATGTAACGTATTATTCCCTAACTTAGCAACTAGGGGATAATGTGTTATTCTTTATTCTCTGCAAAGAACGACATTGTAAAGAGAGGTACTGTACACACCGGTAAACAAGATCCACTTCAACGGGATTTTTACTGAATGCTCAACGGTACTTCAAAGGAGGATATTGAAGAAAGTACCGCGGAGGCTCGAGTATTAGCGAGTCCTAAAGAATTAATTTTCTCCGAGTTTATAGCGTGAGTGAGATAAAACGTAAATAGAGTCATCGAGTGATGGGAGGCGTGGAATTAGTTCCATTGTTGCGCATACGTTACGCTTTTGCTAGATGGGAGGCGTAACGACACCTGTTGAATACGTGAATAGCGTGGGTTTTCTTCTAAACTGATTCAAAACCTAGAAGGATGATAGTTAACGTGTATAAAAGTCAACCGACTAGTTTCTAGTAATCAACTTAATGCTTTATTATCTTCTTTTCCATCTTATTGATATCAAGTAGTACTACTCAAGTTGAGTTTTTGTTTTTCATTTCGTGAATAAGATAGAGGAAGCTGTTATGATTTTTCTGACGGACTAGTCTACATTTCTCATTTATCTAGATATGTTAACTTATAAATCATTTCTTCATTATACATATTCTTTAAACCGAAGCACGATTTTCAGTTTCCACAACGTACAGATAATATAAGTTTAATCTCTTTGCGTCGGCATTTCGAATGTCGCAGTTTCTAAGCTCGGATAAGTCTAAGAGAATCCTATAAACGTATGCGGATCTATTATAAGTACAAAAACAAAGCTATTTTCTCCTTTGCTAAAGCACCATCTGTTTCATTATAAGTACTTTTTTCTCACTCAATTTATGTTGAATCAACATGGGTTTGTTTATATGCGCTAGCTATTCAAACACGCGTGAAATAAAATGTGTAAATGTTTACTGTAAAAATGTTTATAAAAAACTGATACCGATGCATTTTTTTACAGCTAATTTATCTCTATTCTAAAAGGAGCATTCCTTACGTACATCGATGTTGATCTCTAATCAAAATTTTCCGATTTTCTACGTTAAAATGCATTATTTTTTAACCACAGAAAGTGTATAAATCGAATAGCATCTTCGAGATATTAATAACATAAACATTTAGAATATAGAAGTTAATTCCGGAATGATAAGTTATATAAACAATTCAAAAATATATTTGGAGATTTATTTAGTCATTTTCTAAACATTATTTTAAACATTTTAAAGGAAACGAACACGATACATCCGAGGTCAAAGAACCGGAATGTAAAATTTGGGAAGTGGCTAGTTAAAATTGCTCTACTGTTATCGTTTTTTATTCCCTCCTCGAAACGTTACGCGATCGTAAAATAATGCGTTAAGCCAACATTACACGAATTGACTTTTAACGAAGTTTAAACTTTCCTCTACTAAATTATAAAAATAAATTTTAACTCGATGACGTTGCAAACTTCCTCCCCCTAACTTCACCGTTGTTGTAAGAATATCTGTCCGTAAGTTATCCGAAACTTTTTTCGAGTGGGACGAAGGTGTTGAGACAACGAAATAGTTCGTTCGTCAAACATTCGATTCGACAAATTGATGCACGACCGCTTCATCCGCGGTCATGGCTGTAAAAAAGTGTCACGTGACTTGCGCGACTTGGGTGCGCATAAATATGAGAACGGCGATCTCGAAGTTGGCAGTGTGGAACCAGTCGACGGGTGCAAGGTACCATGTCGGGACAAACTTAACCGTGTTCTAATAACATTTGAATATATTCCAAGTGTCATAGTTTCACTTGTGCCAAATTTTCATGTCTCAGCATAATTCTAGTTTTTTCCCTCCCTTCTATTATATTCGTCGGTAATGGTAATAATCGCCTATTAAGTGGAAAAAATATATTATAAAATTTGGATAGCCATGCTGAGAAAAAGAGAATCCGTCTGTTTATGGTTTTTGGTGACTTATTTCTCTTTGACATTATCCGGGTCGGCTAAATATCATCATTCCACGTGGAAACCGGAAAATAGACAATTTCTCGAAGAGGTAAGTCGGAAGTTTGGTTATTTATCAGAAAACGTTGACTCGAGTACATAGAACGGCGGGGCACGTTTACCCTTTCTTTAAGTTCGGCTTATCTAATATGTAGAGCAGAGCATCACGTGGTCAGACTCGACTGCCACCTGCATCGCCGCCGGACACGTGTACGCTGTCGCCATTAAAGACTCTGCATAAACTCGTTACGTGTCTATGAATCGCATCGTGACGCAACGCCAGACCTCTTAGACTATGAGTTTTATGGCTATTTTACTTTTGAGGAACTTCATTTTTATCTATTTATAGTCCGTATCAATCAATTTCCCGTATTATTTAGTTCTATTTGTAACGCGACTTTTACTACTTTACTTTCACTGTTGCCTACGGGGCGTAAAATACACGGTAAAGCTTCGATATTTTCACGCATTCCAATTATATTACGGTTTAACTTTGGCGTGTTGTTTTTACCGAAGTTCTTCAACCGGAAAAATCATTAAATAATGGCTATCCAGATAGAAGGTCAAAATAAAGAAAGGGGGAAAACAGACGCGTTGAAGGACATAAACGACCCAAAGGATTACGCGTTTTGATAGTCAGGTAGTTGTAGAGGCTGTTTGATTAGTTTGATCTAACCGACGAGGAAAGTTTTATTTTCGCTCAATACAAAATTAAAGTTGTTAAAATTACACGTAAGCGATTGCTTTATAAAAATAATATCCGCCTGTTTTTATCTTTGAAAATTCTTCTTTCTATCATTAATCTTAATAAAATTCGAAGATTTTTTTTTGGAAATGTATTCTTAATTTACGTGACTATTAAATTTTGCTTAAACAAAGCTTGCTTATCGCAAAACTATGCCCGAAGGGATGCTTAGTAAAGAATTTCCCTAAAGCGAACAAATCCCCAAATTATATAACGAGAAAGTTACATAGCTTATACGGGTGATCCATTTGCAATCGTATTTTCAAATCCACGTTTTATCAATTATATCCTCCAAATCAACCTTGAGAATAGTCAAATGTTTATACTTTTCCTGTATAATTTTCATTAGTGAAGATCGGTACCATTATCAAAACTCAAGCACAATGAACAAGCGCTTCATTAATCATCTCGTTAAACTTTAATTAACGTTAATTGTTCGGACGTATCGAGTGATTGTTGGAGATAGGTAGCTACACCGTCAAACAGGAAAGAAAAAAAGCTGCAGTAAGATGACACTACGAAAGATGTCGTCTCGGAGGACAGATGTTAGCGGGCTTAACCCCATCGAGTTAGCGATCAGCGAACTGTCAAACAAGTCTCCCGAGACTTTATAATATGATTAATAATATTTTAAATGCATTGATGAATCAGAAGTTTTTAATCAATCTTTCAAACGCATTGACAGCGTTGACAATCTTTAATCACATTTTCAGTTGCACCTTAAAGAATTTTATCGCGTTTAGTCTCACCTAGGCTTCATTTCCGTATCAGCTTGTTTTTTCATCCCGATAATTATAATTCTGTTCTCATCTATAGCCAACTAACCGGTTTTATTTTAGATTTTTACTTAAATTAGATCGTTTGGTTAAAATTTCGATAACCAGATTGTGTTGAATTTTGCTTAATGTAATCCATTGGATTTACAACAGTGTCTTACAATGTTTCCTTAACCGAGTTGCAATAGACCGTGATGAAGGTCGCCCCCTTAGTTTATTAAAAGCTCAATTATCCCCTCCTCCGAGTTCACTAGATCTAATATTTCCAAGAATGCTCTCCCTACCGATCTCCGATGGTTGATCTTTCCGGGAAGTCAAGCTCTCCCCTGAAAAAATCGAACGACAAAAATGTCATAGTTAATTATTAAGTAGAAAGTTTAAAAATTGATAGCCCTTCGAGACCGAGTGATAAAAAGTTGTGATTAAAGTTTAATTGAAATTTAAAGAGCTATAAGGAGAAACTAAAGATTCTATTGATTCGAGCAGTATACAGACTGGTCACTTTTTTAATGCTGTTTGTATGATCGTCACGTATTCTTTAATTGTTGATAAAATATTTTTACCGGAGGCAAAATAGTTTCTTCTAATCCAATTTCTATCCTTATATCTTCGTCTGATGCTTTATCAAAATCCACGCAACTTAAATTATATTACCGATAAGTTTTAAATTGTTATTACTGGTTAATTTCCTAAATGTTTATTATCGTTCTGTTTGCCAACTGGATTCGCTTCTCTTTACAATGACCTCGGAAAAACTGTTTAGAAAACCCACTCGAAAGCATTCACGTGCCAGTTAAGACCTCCTTATGCCGAGTGACTACAAGAATTGAAAATTAGCCAACTGCATCTACTCATTCATTTCGGTAGTTGATTGACTTCTTTTAAGAGGAGGAACTTCACCACCAAGGTAAAATTATAAAGAAGGGTATAGAATTAATAGGGTGGAGAGGAAATCGTGGCGTATTTTGCAATTACTGAATTGCTATTTACATATTCTAAATATTTGCGGATAAAATGCACAAGAGATTTTTAAAAAAATTGATTAAAATTCATAAGATAGTCATCACATTTTGTATTCATAAAATTTAATTATGGATAATTTAGTCTTGTATTTAAATAAATATGTACTAGTTTCCCATTACCCGATTCTTCGTTGAGGCATCCATATCTTCGAATTATTCACTTGTTTTTTGTATTTAAATAAATCCTTGAAACTTCAAATTTATGCCGTTTATATCACATTTTTTTTTCTTTTAGATTAGTTTTAATTTGCATATGACAGATTATTTTATCGCAAGGGTGTGATTATTATTTCGATTCGTTAATAAATTAAACAATATATGAATATGCATAAGAATTTATTATAAATCAAACACTTTGTCTTACCATGCAGTCGCTAAAGGAAAATGGCTTGAAATTTTGCCAGCGGTCTTTCTTTAGAAAACAACATGCACACGTTAAATCGTTGTATAGGTCCTACTTGATATTCATTCGACGACCGGTCGTGTGTGAATATCAAGTAGTATTAGATCCCTCATTCGGAGGATGGTAGAATGTAAGACCTTGAACTCGTTCGAAAGAAGTGGCCAGTTATTGAATCAACATTAAAATATCGTATAGTAAAATATTGTCAACCGTGGTTAGTATCTGTGTGTCATTGTGGGCGTTAAGATTATCTCTAACTGTAGGGCGTTCAAGGATGATAATATATGACATCCTCAAGGAGATAATGTTTTGAATGCGGATATACTGACTATAGGTATTAAATATAGGCGAGAGAGTAAAGGTGATAAAGGAAGGGATTGTGCAAAGCTTTCTCCTCATTATGTGTGTAAAAAAAATACGAAGTTTCAGGTATGTGGGACTCGATAATAATATCACGAGCCGAAAGCGAAAATGGCTGTCTTATAACTCATCGTTATATTTATATAAGCATTAAATAATTAAAGTGTTTGAATTTTTTAAACATAATTTTTAAATAAATATAAAAGTAGATTATTATTATAGATTAAATTCGAAAATTGCAAAGATAATCTCCTTCAAATTTTTGGCATCTATACATCAGATAAATTCGTGGATGATACAGAGAGGCGGGTGGACTAGGTTGTTAACTGGGTGTACACCCAAGTATAGGGGCGGTAGGGACTTTTTTACGTCCCCTTCCCCGGGGAAGAAAGGTGACAGGACGTCCACACCCCTCATGCGTCCGTGTCTAATCGGTAAAGTGTGGGAACTTGACACGCTCAAAGAACTGTATACTTTAGACTGTGACAGGTCTTGTTTGGGTGGTGTAGTCTAGATAACACATTTAAAAATGCGGGCATATTTATGTTTTTGTTCGAGTTATTAAATTATTTATATAAGTTGATGCTGTATCAGATATCAACTTGGAAAAATTGAAAATATCCACCCTTGTACGAAATAGATATTACTGCGGATCATTACACATTTTACGCTGGACGTTATCAGTTTATCAACTATACAAAGCCGGATATCAATTTAGTAACTAATATCAGTTTAGCAATTGCTTTTAACAATTTACTTGCTAATTTTTTATTATTTAAAAAAAAGGAGAAATTAAGGTATTTATTTGTGGAAAGAATGTTGCATTAATATTTTAATTATATCCAAAGATACGAAAGATGAATGTGTTTATTAAACAGAAATATCTGATCCGTAACTATCGTTTCACCGTTCTCAAATTTAGCTATACCCCTTATAACCATGGCCTCCTTTCTATTCTTAACATTTTGTATCACTTCGTTCCAATGACCTTTGGTCCCTGTCGTACAAACTAATGAGTTCCAAACGATGCTTAATGTTAATTGATGAAGTTTTTTTATATGCCTTCTAGACTTTGCGCTCGACTGTCAACTATTATAATTAATTTTGTTTATTATTAAAGGACATCTTAAAACTTTTCTTTATAATATTACTTTAACTGCGTTCAAATTTACGCTGAAAATATATGAACTAGTTATTAATTATGTGAAAAAATAAGAATTTAATAAATTTCAATTTGAAAATTTAAAAATAATTTTTTACTTCTACTGTAAATTATGCAATCGTTAAATAAATTTTGAACTAAGAAACTAAATAGTGATTTAATTTATTATTTTATCATAATTAATAATTTCTCTTTATAATTACAAAAGACATCTGTAGATAGGGTGAGGTTTATCTAAGAAAAGTAATTTTTATTTTAATTATTCTTTCATAAAGTTCAAGGTTATCAGAGTTTCGAATTACAAATTCAATGACCTTTGCAAAATTTTTTTTGCACTTTATATTTGCAGTAAAAGAATTTTTCTTGTTTACAAACAGTGGTTTATAGATGCCGATAGAGTATATCTTATTCAGTGCATATAAATAATTAAGTATAAAAACTCTGTGATGGCTGACTCAGAATGATATCTTTGGGAATGGAAATCTGGAAGGAATAACGATAGGTATTTTGTCACCTCTCACACATGACTCATCGGTATATTTGTATGAAGAAATTTTTAGCTTCCCTCCTCACTCTCTCTCTTTAATGCTAATTTTTTTTTAACCCACCCAATATATTTTTGTCAACAGCTTTTACGAACACGTTTAGTTAACAATTTCCATTTGTTAATTGTTGTTTTATCATTTATTCTTCCTTAATTCTGTTCTATCACGTGCTGATATGTATCTTCATTAAGAGTAGCCTATTAAAAACTAGAAGAGAAATTCTACCGCCTTCTTATTCAATGTCGACCACATACTTTCGACTGGCTTCCCTACAAAATGATTGGAATTCTGCCTACTTGATAAAGGAGTTATATTTCGGTACGTGATCTTGTCCCATATACGGCTACTAAATTATAAATCGAATGTCATCAACCTCCGACTAGTCCAATTACCGACACGTGATTCTACTAAAGTGCACCTCTCGTCACTTCCCTCTCGTAATAAAATTAATCGAAACGTGAAAGGATGTGAAGCATTTTATACAAGATAATTAAAAAAATTCGATAGTGTAGTAAATAACTATCAGAATATCTATTCCGCTCATATTTGTAATATGTAATATTCTATAGATCGATCATCATTTCGCTGTATGGTTACCTTCAGACAAATAATAGATTCTTTTTAATAAGTAGATAGCATCTATCTGTCATCTTATTGTATGTGGACTGTATACTTAAATCATTTATAGCGAAGCAAATATATTTTACGGGAAGAAACTAAGCTATTATTTAATTCCAATTGGCTGTCACGGGTCACTCATTCATTCTTTACGTCTTAATCCTATAATAAGAGATGGGCGTAGTGTATAATTATTGCCTAGGGTATTCGTTTAATATCACACATAAAAGATATCACTTATGACGGATCAAAGGTAAGATAATATGTCTTTACAAAAAACATCATTTGCACAATAATTAAGACATTGCAAGTTACAGGTAAAAGATTTTCTTTTGCAAAAAGGAAAGGGAGGATTGATTAAATAAATTTACAAAACAAAAGAGTTCGTATTCCAAAAATTATTTTAATTTTTACGATGCTATATATATATATAATACATTGATATAAGATACTACTGGCTATAGAGTTGAATGACATCTATTTTGCAGTATTCTAAAGTATTGCGGGGAAGCCCTCTTCAATTTACGAATTAATGACATTTATCTTGGAATAGACGCAAGTATACAATTTTTTAAAAAGTTTTTCTTAATTTGTGCCAGAAAGAAAGGCACCACAAAAAAAGCCGAAGTTAATATCCGAGGAAAAGCTAACAAAAAGATACAAATGAACATTTGAAAGAAGAAACCGTCTATTGTGCATCTGGGTCACGGGCGTGATTTTTGTTTCCGAAGGGAGAGGTGACCTAAATACCGAACTTCTCTTTATCCAGAATTTCTGTATTCATCCTGTATAAACGTGAGTTTTAAAGAAACATTTAAATTCTGTCAATAGGAAGTAATTGGTTTGACAATGAATAGCCTATGGTGTTTGAAACCAACGGGGGTAATCTGAAACATCGGAGAACGGACATCGTGGGGTGCTTAAAGGAGGTGCAAATCTTTAATAGCAGATTATAAAAAGACGGGATGGGGCTCCTAGAAGTTAAGAAAAAGATTGGAAAACTAATGTCGGTCTCAGCAGGGGAGAGGAGGTTGGTTGACACGACATATAAAATGTGCTAGGTTTTGTGGACAGATCGTAAAAGTTCTAAGATTATATTGACGTTTAGTTTTGAAAATGAAGGGTTCTCTTTTACTCTGGCTAAAAATTCGTATAATATTTCTTTTAATTTAATACCAGAAATCGATCAACGGCAACCTTTAAACTCGAAATCACTCTATATTCGAGCCTAAATATTTTTCACCTTAAAAAAAAAATATGGATTAATTTTCTGTAATACGAGTATATTAATATTACCCTGCTGTGTAGGAGTCGATTCGTTTGCAGATGGCGATGTGGGTGTCGGGATTTGTATAGAGACTTTTCATACTCACCCACTCACAAATTCAAACAATTCGGGTCATGTTTTGTCTATATTTTGATGTCCAATAGTAACTTACATGTCCCAAGGGTATAGTTTACACTGAATCATAAACAACAGTTTACTAATCCTTAAAAAAAATACGAAAAGACAGAAGCAAAGCGGTAGTTTAGATGTTTTCAATTTACCATGATTATTATAAATCTTCAAGGGAGTTAAACTTGTTTTACCAGTGGTTGACATTTCCTTTAACCCGGAGATCATATAAATAGACTAGTACGCGAAGAATGCACGAGATCTTAAAATTTATAAAATGATTATAGTTTCGACTATTTCATGTTTCATATAAAATTTTATGATTTAATATCGAATAATTTAAATTATCTTAAACCATATAAAAGCTATCATCACCAACAGTCATAAATAAAAATGTATTTTTTTTTAAATTAGTAGAGACGAGGGTGTGCCCTTTATCAACAGACACACCTTCGAATATGTAATATTGTTATGAGTCAAGTAACCGTTATGTATTATTCATAAAAAAATGTCTATCAATATAGACAAAGCATTTTTAACAAAATAATTTCTTATAGAGTCAATGTTTGGTGTGAAATTGAATTTTTCTAAAGATACAAGATACCATTAATTCCTACTAATATTGTGCAATCCTGAAATTACCGAGGGAGAGCTTTCGGCCATATCATAAAATTAAATTGTAAAGAACGTAGAGAGAATCTTTTAAAATTCTTACAACAGGTATCTACTTTGATATACAGGATGTGCTTTAGATAAAAAGGAACACGTGGTATTCTCGTGTTTAACTCTCATTAATTCTTGTCTATGTGAAGAAGCTTTTCTCGAGATTTTTATGTCCAACGTTAAAAGCGGCATTTTAGAGACACACGACCGAAAGCCACGAGATATAAAAACCTATTCAGAAAATGATTTGGCTCGAGTTTTTTCCTATCAACATTTTTTAAAAAGCTGATACAGTCCTTTCCATTACAGCGATCGTGACCTGAGTGTAGCAAGGAAACTGTTTCCATTAACAACGATGGATTACACAAGAACATATCACGATTTTAAACGCTGTCTCACACCCGATATCAATTCTCTTCGCAAGAATATCATTGCTCAAAGAGGAAAATCTTGATTAATACACCGAATCAGCCGCCAAAAGATTTTCTATGTAGAAAATCCTAATATTTTACGGACATTCGTACGAAATTTATACAGAATTACCAGTTATAAAAATTATAAAAATAAATTACCGAACACAAAAAAGAATAATTATTTGTGATTAAATATCGTAAAAATTAAAGAATTATTATACAACATTATTCATTTTTTCTGGTGTATTTTATAAATAACGATAATATAACTTATAAAATTAATATTGGGGTTGCATATAGATCATTATTCACGTAACGAAGTTAAATCTCGAATGACTGGTTCCGATCGTAAATTAATCAGGTTGCTTGGGTGCAGGATACTACTTTTAAATTCTACGTTTATATTCTGTTGGGAGTTTTTATTCACTATAATATATGATCCGTAGTTTATTTCTGAAGATTTCGTATGATTTATCGGCTACATATCCTCTCTAAGGACTTTTTAAGTGGATCTTGGTAAAGTTATAAATACTAATAAACACTCGAGCTATCTTTATGGTTAATAATGACGAAGTCGTCATCTTTTTTGCGTAGTTTTAACTGTGTTTTTTTCTTAGGAAGCTATTTCACCCACGCTGATGTAAATCGTACACTTTTTATGTTGATATTAAGGACCGAAAGCTGAAAAAACTTACAAGACTGTAATCTGTCAACTCGTTTTTTTTCTTTACTTTTTTAGTATCGAGATTACTCAAATATTCGCGAGTTATTCTTTTTATTTTTACTTAATATTCTTGTTTTTAACACGAAGTTTCAATTAGCGTTTAACATATTAAAATAGTATAATCTCCACGTGGTTTACGTCAATGCAAATATTTAGTTAAAATTAAATTGATCGTAGATTTTTGCACTTAACTTTCATCCACTTTTTTCGTGCAATAAATTATACAACGTACAGTACAGTACTTTCGAACGATCGTATTACGCTCTTTATTTTTATTTACGTTATCGAACAATTTGTAAAAAGTTAAAGTATAAAGGACTTTCACCTTAACAACAAAGAAACCGATCGTCCGTTTAGTAAGACAGAAGAGTCAAGGTCAAATCCTAAATTAGGCAGTACGCGCTAATTGACCAAAAGTCGTGATTTCTATCCTCCTGATCCTATCTATATTCAGGAAGTGGTCAATGGTCTCTTTACACTTTTCTTAATCACGACTTCCTAAATATTTTCAAATATTTCCTAAATATTTCCGGGATAGAAAATTCCTGTATAAATCACGCAGAAAATTAACGTAATTCGCATGAAGCTTGCTAATAATTAACGTAGTTTTGACGCTAAAACTTGTTTTTAAATGAAAATTTACCGAATAATTCATTGTTTATGGACAAAAATGAACTCTAAATGTATATTTTACAGACAGATACGTGGTCATCTACAGTGGCATCTGGCCCCAATCGATGGTCCACGACTCATTCGTTAGGAGGTTCTACGAGAACAATGTATGGAAGTCATGAAGGGGTGCAGCTCTCTCGAAAAAAGTATGGCCCCACCAATCCTCCAATGGCTCGTTCCGGATATATTATCAGTCAAGGTAAGGTTGGTTATAGGTCCTGGTTGTACCTCTCCAAATACTGATTTTAATCAGAAAAGGAGAGGATACATGTTAACCTCATTATATCGACCCAAGGGAGTGATCGACGAGAAGACAGACAGACCACCAGCAGTGTGTTAGTTTATCCCTTCATAAATTTCTTTCGTTGATGGAAAGGGTACATTCAATCGAAAACTTGAAAGGGTATTAATAAAAAGAATGGGATGTTTCTCAGTATACACGCTACTTTTAACAACAAAAAAAATTCTGTTTAAATTATAAGATTATATTTATAATAATAATAATAATAAAAATATTGATTTTCTTACCATCGATAGATAACATAATTTCTATTGCAATAAAAGTTTAACAAGAAAAGAAAACAGAATTGTTTAAAAAACTTTACAATTCTACGTTTAATTTAAAGATGCCAATTGTTCAGCAAATATCTAAAATAGTTATCAAGCCAAGGTCATAGAGGTTAAGGGTCAGGACGATTCCTCCCTGTAATCCGAGAAGTGGGGGAGATGCCTGTGAATCATCACCTGTGTTTGTAACAGACAGGTGGTGTAGTTATTAGAACTGTAATTTAGAAATGCCAAGGGTGAAACGCAGTCACACTCGTGATGTCGAGGTGGGTCCTCAATTCTGGGGATGCTTTGGCTGTTTTTTGTGTGTGTGTGTGTTTTTTTCCCTCTTTAGTAATGCTTAGAATGCATTTTAAAAATAGTTCCATTAACATGAAGGTTGAGAGAGTTAACTTATGTGAAAGAAAACATAATTCGGTCTTTTATATTCATAAAATGTATTTATTATTATTATTTTCATGTAAATATGTTTAAATTTAATTTAAAAATCATTTAAATAATTTTATACGTAAAGCAAAAATATTTTTACGCGTGTGCTCATCGTGAATAATTTTTGAGTAATGTTTGTATTCAGTTTATTTCAAGTTTAGCAGAATTGAAAGTAAATCGGACATATGAAACGATGATATCGAATATTTATGTCATAAACAGTGTTTTTACAATGGAAATAAATGCGAAATGTTAACGAGGCATGGACAAGTAACAAAATTTAAAAAAATACTCGAAAAATCTAACAAAAGAACATTACATTCCTCTTCTAAGGTAAACGCATTGAAATGTAAACAATGATAAATTTACTTAACAATCGTTATCTAAAGGAAATAAATTTCGAAGTAAAAGAGTTTCTTAAAACTAATTCAAACAAAGTTGGAAAAACAGTCAGCGGGAAATCTGTGATAAGAGAAATGGAACTACTTTAGATAACATCATACTAGGATGTAATAGAGGATAAACAGCCACTAATTTACTTTGATACCTTTATTTTACACTATAAACACATTTTCGTTATTAGGGGCGATATATCAACTTATCACTACTTAACAACAGTTTACAAAATTCATGTAATAATAAATCAATACAAATTATTTTGTTTAAATAATCACTAGAATATATAATGTTGTTTTTCCTTGTTGTTTTTAAATATTTTTCACCACCCTAATTCCTTCAACTACGAAGTACAGTACTGTAATCCTAATGCCGAAGATTTACGACAGCAACACTACCTCTCCAGTCAAAGTCGATATTTGACACCTCGACTGTCAGGTTGTGCTGACACAGAAAAGTCTGTTTGGTCCCCGGACTATCGTTACTAGTCGTACGTCAAGGGTCTTTAATCGTACATCAACGTTTGTGCAACACTCGGAACAACCTAAAGATTCGAAAAATATTTGCAGCAGTTAAGAAATTGTTTAGATTTTTTTACTTGACAGGTTTTTCATCGAAAAATAAAGTGAACAAACTATTCGTCAACGTAAATTTGCTGTTAGCAATGGCTTTGCACTCTTCGATTGATTTAAAATGTTAATATTTATTCGGTTCTAAATTTGGTCGAAACTATCTGCAGTTTGGGAAAGATCACTAACGATTGGTTTAACTTTTTTTTTTAAACTTCGGAATTTTTAGGGGGAAAAAAGGTAATTTCGAGGTTCACCGGCCACATTTTTTGCCAGTAAGATAACGTGAGAAGACAATGGATGCTGATGATTATTTTTTTAACATAATTTCATCCAATGCAAGACCCACCTATAATTATGGGTGCGACTAAAAAACTCTACCTAAATTTTACTTTTTAATCTGAATTTGCACATTTAATAATTGAAATTTCAAATTTAAAAAATAATCTCCAAGTTTCTACTTTTTAATTTTTCAAAACAGATCATCTTTTCTAAAAAAATAAATATACAATAAACATTGACCAGAAACTTTTGCATGGTAAAAAGTAATACCGGGAAGTACTGTACAGTACATGGAACGTATTGCTGATGTTTTGAGTATAATCCAATCCAACTTTTATTGCCGTTAAAATTTAATTCATCCATCATATCTTTCCCCTATTTGTGATGATTGACGGCTGTTTCTACCCACAACTTTTACTGCAGGAGAACTAAGGACTGGGTGGTCTACTTTTCTTAATCTTCTTCCTCGGTGGTCGTCAGTTTATCGAGAACTCGGGGAAAAGTTCCTAGCAATTAGACTAAGTGTCCCTTAAGGTGTCCCTGCTGCACAGACTTCTGTCATTGATCTTGATTACCGGACCATCTGTTCTTTTCCTTCCAGACCCTGCATTGCTTATCTTTTGACCCAGTTACGTCATCGCTTCAAAATTCCAAAATATTTTTACTTATCTAAACCCTTGGTATTTTAGTACCGCGCGATATCTCGTTTCGTCCACATTTAATGCTAGCTTTACGAGCCTTTTAAACTCGCGAATAGTACATTCTACACTATTGTAAGACCAAAACAGATAAAGATAAGAAGGGGATTATAACAGACGATAGCTATCTGACTAGATCCATTGTTTCTTATGAATGAAAATTTTTTTTATCTCTCTGTAACAAGGTGACGATGCCTGTGGTTAAATATCTAAAATTATGTAACCGTCCTCATAATCGCATACTTTAACCTTATGTAATATCCATTTTATTATACGCTTTCGAATTATTTAAGCAAATTTATTCCGAAACAAGTTTCTGCACACGCTCTCGGAATATCATATAGAGGAGACTGCATAAATTTTAGGTCTACATCTTCAAAGAATCGATTGCGCTTTTCATTGAATTGTTAATTAAGATCTGATACATTTCCGAAATACTTTCAAAACAATTAAGAAATTATTTAGTTCATCTGGAGAATTATTTTAAGAAATAACTCTCAGCCAAATGATTCTTTTTGTGATTTAAGATACGTTAGTTTGCTCCCTGAGCCGTGGCTTAACTTCTCATCAATTTCTCTAGTAAAACCTCGGTTATGTTTCTGTACATGGCTTCGGGGTCGATAATTCTTTCATGCTGAGGTATAATTAGACGTTCCATGAGTGGAAGACCTAGTTTTTCGGAAGTCGGAGTGACCCATCAAAGTAAGACAATATATTCCTTAACGTCGCGACCTTTCGCCTTCCGCTCACAACCTTCCAAAGTAGAAAAGGCGTGGCGTTTCTTTAGTGATGACAACTATAAATTGAAGTAAGAAACCTTCCGAATACTCCTCATAGAAATGGATTTTTCTTCCTTTAAGCGATTTGTTTACTCTGCTGTAAAGATTTCTGCAGGTGTTGCCAAACTAAACATACCTTCACGGATAAAACAGATTAGCATTCTAAAAATTAAGAGAAGAATCCAATAGAATTAACACAATTTTGATTTTACAAAGCAACTCTTATCTGGAAACTGTCCAGGCCAATTTGGTTATCTGTAGTTTCTATCTTGATAAGTTTGACATTCTTGATTCTGCAAGTGACGTCCGGCTGTTCAACCCGTTCGGGTGTAACTAGACTTTTTTATAGCTTTTTTAAATTATAATTTTATTTTAAAAAATAATAATATAAATTTATATTAAATATATAAATTTTCCAGCATTTTAATTTGATAAAGTAACAAAAATTTATTCTTGAAACTACGTAGGCTCATAACGGTATATTAAAAAATGAGAGGATAGAAAAGTATTAATAACTGTCCTTAGGCGTGGGATGATAAATATGAGAAAAAACAGGGTCAAGTGATTTAGTTTTTTGCCTTCTTCTGTTTCTACCGTCACAGCCGATGAGCGCAACGATGACGTCATTAGCCTCCGAATGAGAATCCCGTTCTTTTAGGGCATCTAGCGGATGTCAATTATTGGCGAATGTTAGGTTAATTAATATGTCAAAATTATTACTTTCGAAAATTCTTGCCAATCAACGAAACTATTAAGTCGTTAAATACGTCAAATTATTATCGTGTCGGTTTGATTGCTATTCTCACTTATAACACGGATAAGGGTTAAACATTTCGTATAAAAATACATATATATGAAACTTTTCTTATTTTATTAAAGCGTTTATTCACTTCACTTTTATAGGTGTTGATTGCTAGTAGGCCTACTTTTTAAAGAATAATTTGTATTTATAATACAAATAAAAATGATTCTCATTAAAAAATCTACAAATTATTTATATAACATTAGTTTTAAATATATAGCAATTGTTTTTTTAATGAATACTTACTTTAAAATTGTACAAATTAAAAATTTTACAGACTTAATCTAATTTAAATAGGGATTCTTCTATTAAAGTAAATCAAACTTTGCGTAGTTTTGATTCGTTAGATCTTATTCTGATTCAACAAAATGAACATAATTTCTATTTATGACCTGGAAATTCTCATAAATTCTAAAATTTAATTTCAGAATTGGAAGATATTCGATTAGCTAATGAACATTTTTTGAAAATGAGAGCGTCGGGAAGATGTAAAATTCCCAGAGAAAGAGTCGTTAGAGTAAAGGATTATTATCCGGATCCTTCGAAGGAATATCTTCCGAGATGCACTCTGTTGCACAGATGTGGGGACGAAAGTGGTTGCTGCGATAACGATGCTTTCGAATGTGTAGCGCATTCCGTCCAAGAAGTAACTCTATCTTTTTATGTAAGTCCTTCTACAAATAATTAATAAAATCCTTTATTAAATTGCCTTTAATAACAGCTTTTAAAGAAATTACGGCGAAACTAGAGCCATTAAGATGCACTAAAGTTAATGATGTCTTTGTTTACGAATGCCGTGTTTATTAATTGGATACTAATTAATCTTGAATTGAATTAGCCTTGATATATTTAGATTAATAAATTTCTATTTAAATTATCAACACGTGCGTGTGTTAAGACGATGCATATAATTATTTACTCCGTTTTATTAAGCTAATTACAGTTTATAAAACTTTACAGTTTAATAGGATCTTTGAGATCTAATGTAAATAGTTTCTTTGATCCCACTATAATTTAACGTTTAAATGAATATAAATTAATAAACTAAATTAACAATAATGGAAAGCTTTTTCACGGTTGTTTTCATTCGATTAAAAGAAGAAAACAAACAAAAAATAGATTAATCATAAAATATTTCATTATTAATAATAGAAAAGATTAGAGGAATACGTCTTTAAAATTCATACTTAAATTTATTTCTTTTGTCAACTAAGGACTGACAGAAGGGCATTTGAAGTAACAAAAGCAATTCGTTGGCACAATGGCAGATTCCGAAGAAGAAAACTCATTGGAAGTTGTAACCATTCAGTTTGAGATTCACCTATGAACTCAATTCTCAGCACGTTTTCATATTTACGCCCCAGAGCCGGTGGTAGGTTCTTGTGAATCACTATAGAAAGATTAATGAAAGAAAATCAGAGAGAGGAAACTAGGAGGACAGTCTTCCAACTGACTCCCGCCACGCGCCTCCCGCAGATCCCCGAGTGGCCCGTGTGGCCTTCTTTCTTCACGTTCTTAGTATGGACATCAATCAATATCCTCTCCCGAACAGATAACGTAAGAACTAGCGGAATCGAGAGAGAGAAGGTACCCCAAATAAATGACGGGGCGTATTTAGCCTCCAGCTTCCACTGGGTGCTGGTTGGGGGAAAGGGTCAGAAGTTGTAACTCACCCGCTTTAAGGGAAGCTTATTACAAACACAATGAATGGAAAATCTGAGAAAAATATGTCGTAGGCTTCATTCCTATATTGTAGTATATATTACAGTACAGAGAATTTAATTCAAAGCTCGTAATATACGTCAAACCTTATAAGGATTATAATTACCTTCGTTCTAGTAAATATTCAAAATAATTCTAGAGAAACTTGATCTAGAATTATTTTTATAAGTATTTTGCTGAATTTTAAACAATCAAATAATTAAATTGATATAATGATAGTCATAATGTAGTTCTATATTGCTAATTGAATATTATATTTAAAAAAAATTGTATACGTAAAATTATTTTTTATAAATCTACTTAAAAGGATTTTTTATAACTACAAAAAAATTAATAAAATGTAATTATAAATTACATTTACTGTACACTTTTCAAAAGAATTTTTAAAAATTACAGACAACCATATCATATAAAGAAAGGTCAATCTCCAAATAGAAGTGGTCTTTCAGGACGAATAATCTGAGTTTTTTCGACATAAAAATGATTTCGAAATGAAATTTGAAGTCTATTCATGCTAATTAGCATTGCTGGCATCTCAGTAGCAAAACAAATAAACCGACTTCTCGTATATTTCAAAGTAAAAATTTCTTATGAAACACGTTATTGTGAATTCTACTTTGAAGTTTTTAATTATAACTTTATAGTAATGTGTTCATTTTAAAACCGTCAAAAGTTACTCGATATACAAATGCATCGTTTAATGTAAAAGTTATCATTTCCGGAAGTACTCTACGGCTTTTCAAGGACCTTCCAGCTGGTTACTGTTATTCAAATATGAATGAAAATAATAATGGCATTAATTAATTTATTTTCCGATCATATTATATAATAAAAAGTCAAGTCGATATGTCGTAACAGTATAAATATATAGCAAAAAATAAATAAAATATTTAATAGAACTTTACGTAAAAAAGTAAAAGGAAAATGGGAGAAGAAACTAAATCTTCCTTCGTAGTTATTCTAAGTCCCACTTTGACCCAATCGACACGTGTTCTACACGTGTATAATAACTCGGTGGGTGTTTGCAGTTTACGATCAAATATCTCACCTTAACTGCGGGAATAAGAATCTAAAGATTTTAATGGTTGTTTATACACACTCAAACTTTTAGCCTGTAATATTTAAATGGATTATATCCGAAGCGGATACGACCTATACATGTTTTCTAATCTACTTTTAATGAGAAACAGCAATATAAAATTCTACTTCTACACTCGCATCGGGATTCTGTAACGCTTTCTATTTATTTATGAAGTAATAGGCTCTTTCCTTATCTAAATTTACGTGCCTTTGATTAAATAAATTTCTTTGTCGTAATAACCGCGATGTTGTTCATTTCCTCTTTACATTAATATTTGCAAAGAATTTTCTGTTCTCGCATTGTCTCTCGGTAGGAGGTGGTTATACTTCGCAGGTGGAAATCGTTAGCATTAAATGACCTTTTGTGTCAAATGCGGTTATTAACAAGACGAGAGATGAATGTAGAAAACAAAACTTCTCTTTAGATTTGTTCGTATGAGAAAATACCAAACATAATGGGCAGGTGTTATAAATGACTCGATTTATTTGTAGCGCCTTGACATAGTTAGACCCTTTAAAGGTCAGTGATTTACAGTGACTGAAGGCTCAAAAACTTTTTAGAGTTTCTACAAAATTATTTACGAAAATTTCAATTTATTTTTTTTAAATTTCTTTGAAAAATAAAGTTCATTATTTCTAGACAAAATAAAAATTTCAAGAATTCTTCCAATAAAATTAAAAATAAAATAGAATTTAGTGTCTTACATAATTATCAAAGGCTTACACATAAATATTTCTTTATTTAAATTTATTATTATAAATTATGAAATTATTACATTAAATCCATTCTTTTCTAAATTTATGAAAGAATAATTTCTATTTTTTTTCAGTTTGACCTTTTAGACAGCCATTATTGTAAGGTTGTATCGAATAGGCGCCATGTCTGGCCTATTTGACCTACGATATGGCTTTTTTAGCATCGAGTATTATTCATTGAAAGTGGATCTCGTAGCAATGTAACACGATACTAAATTTGTAAGTCGGAGTGATTCTATTTTTACACGTCATTCTCTAATGATTTAGCACGTGTTAGACCCAAAAGTTAATATTAATATCAAGAGATTCATAATTCTGTCTAATTTTATTTTATATTAATAGTTTGAACGAAAGCAATTGACCTTTTAGAAGATTATTATTTCTAATTATTTTATTTATCATCGAAGGCGATGACAAAAAAAATAACGAAGAATAAATATAATTGATGATCGTATTAAGTAGCTCTTAATCGAGGTCTTTCACTAGATGTAATTTTTAATATTCTGCAAACCAGCTTGACAGTGTTATAAATTAAATACTGATCTGTGTAAGCTCTTCTCGATCATGGTTATCACTTTGTATTTATTTATTCACTATTTAGATTATTTACAACAAATAAAAGCAAAGAAATAACTGAAAAAAACAAATTATTCATTTCTTCTTGGGTTTAAAATTACTTCTGAATGACAAAAAACGCTCCTGATTTATGATTTAGTTTCAATAATATGGCGTGGGCTGAGTTTTTGTTTTTTGGTTTTTTTTTCCAGAAAAAGTTTCTGGTTTCGCCTGTTTTGGTTTTTTAATATTAACTTTTATGGTTACGGAATGGCGATAAACATTATATAACGCCATAAAACAAAGATTTTAAAAAAATATATTAAAATGCGATAAATTTTCTGTTCTGTTCTAATGTAACCAGGTTAACGGGATCATCTTGTTAGGATATTTATGGGTGGAGTCCGGAAAAGTAAATTGCTACCATTTATCACCTGGGAATTCATGGTTTTGGACAACCGAGAAATTGTTTGCAAACATTTTACAGCAGGTTGTGATACTGGATCTCTATCATTAGCTTATTATTTTATTTATAACAAAATTAGGAAAATTTATTTTCACTTGTTAATGAATAAAATCCCAGCTAACTGGAACCTAAGTGAATTGAAATATTTATCATCCGTAAAGTGATATTTTGTACTGAAAATCATTAGTTAATTATATCTGGATCTCATGTTAACATTAATAAAATAGAATAGTTGAAAAGTTATTGATAAAAATAGCAAATGTTTTAGAAGTATAGAGAGAACTTATTTTTTCCTTCCTTGTATCTTTTGTAAAAATAAATAAATTGTGCATTTATTATATAATATTGGCATTAATTAATTTATTTTCCGATCATATTATATAATAAAAAGTCAAGTCGATATGTCGTAACAGTATAAATATATAGCAAAAAATAAATAAAATATTTAATAGAACTTTACGTAAAAAAGTAAAAGGAAAATGGGAGAAGAAACTAAATCTTCCTTCGTAGTTATTCTAAGTCCCACTTTGACCCAATCGACACGTGTTCTACACGTGTATAATAACTCGGTGGGTGTTTGCAGTTTACGATCAAATATCTCACCTTAACTGCGGGAATAAGAATCTAAAGATTTTAATGGTTGTTTATACACACTCAAACTTTTAGCCTGTAATATTTAAATGGATTATATCCGAAGCGGATACGACCTATACATGTTTTCTAATCTACTTTTAATGAGAAACAGCAATATAAAATTCTACTTCTACACTCGCATCGGGATTCTGTAACGCTTTCTATTTATTTATGAAGTAATAGGCTCTTTCCTTATCTAAATTTACGTGCCTTTGATTAAATAAATTTCTTTGTCGTAATAACCGCGATGTTGTTCATTTCCTCTTTACATTAATATTTGCAAAGAATTTTCTGTTCTCGCATTGTCTCTCGGTAGGAGGTGGTTATACTTCGCAGGTGGAAATCGTTAGCATTAAATGACCTTTTGTGTCAAATGCGGTTATTAACAAGACGAGAGATGAATGTAGAAAACAAAACTTCTCTTTAGATTTGTTCGTATGAGAAAATACCAAACATAATGGGCAGGTGTTATAAATGACTCGATTTATTTGTAACGCCTTGACATAGTTAGACCCTTTAAAGGTCAGTGATTTACAGTGACTGAAGGCTCAAAAACTTTTTAGAGTTTCTACAAAATTATTTACGAAAATTTCAATTTNGAGATGCACTCTGTTGCACAGATGTGGGGACGAAAGTGGTTGCTGCGATAACGATGCTTTTGAATGTGTAGCGCATTCCGTCCAAGAAGTAACTCTATCTTTTTATGTAAGTCCTTCTACAAATAATTAATAAAATCCTTTATTAAATTGCCTTTAATAATTTTAATATCAATTCTTAAATAATATTTATATTGTAAATTATTAATATAAATACTTATAATGAAATTTTACAGTTTATTTATCAAGACTTAATTTAATATTAAGATATTTGTAATTTCTATGAATAAAACTTGTTCTTATTATAGCATTCAGACAATCTGTTATCATTTAGTTTTTACAGAAATGACAATTTTCATCCCTATTAACAACAGCGTTTGATCATTTGAATCGTTAAAACAGATCAAACAAGAGATTTTCTAAGGATCTCCACTGATCTTATTACAAAACATATAAAACATAAGTTTTATATGTTTTGGCACGAACTCTGGAATGAGAGCAATGAATAACTTGTCTAGTCACTTTAAAAAGAATCAGACGGAAAGTTATCAAAACATTCCAAAATGTTTTTCTCTTAATTCGAATATTTTCTCGATTTTAATTAGTTCGGTTATTTCTTTTTCTTTGCGTAGACTATTCATTTGGGACGACATAACAAAAATGTGGGCCTCAGCAACTCCGTTGAAAAACTACTCTTCATTAACCATACGGAATGTGAATGTCAACCAATCAATGATGTACCCAGAATCCAGGAATCGCCTCACGTTTCTAATAAAGAAGAAGATCGCCCTGTTGGTTACACCAGGTGAGTCTAAATCAGTAAAATTATTTATCTATAATTTACTCTTTCAATAACTTCTAGATATAAGCTTGCATTATTCATAAATAACATTTATGATTAATTAAATTGAACCTGAAATGAATTATGAGTTATGGTTTAAAAATGTTATATATCTTTATTATTTATTGATTAAGATAAAATTAAAATGTTTAAATATAAAATATATTAAATCTACCAAAATTTATTACGCTCTCATTTTAGAGGAAAATGCGCTCAATTTTAATTAATTGAAGAGATTCAGCGAATGTTTATGTAACATATTCACATACTGTTTGGCCTAATTAATCAAAAAATAAAAATAATTTTGTTCCTGGTACCAAGAAACTGCTCTGTATGCGATTTCCCTTTAATATTACTTATCTTTTTATATGTAAATTTATATCGCGTGTTTTTATAATTTCAATGAATCCTTATTTTTTTGAGCCCGCAGGTGTACAGTTTAATCGCATTATGCACATCTTGTCTTCGATACACGATTTTTCCCCGAAGGGAGGGCGGAGAATAGAAGTTAATAATTAAAGAAAAATGGAGTAATTAATTCATCTTCGGTGACATTGCTGATCAGTTATTAATTGTTATACTGCAAATGGCGATAGAAAAGGGTAGGGAAGTTACGTGATTAACATCATTCGTGACAGGTTGTCAGTTTAGATATTGCAGAGAAACATTTCCTATTCAGATATCATTGCTCGAAATTCGAGAAATTAGAAAATACTGTTATCAACATATTTATTCTTTTTTATTCTTCATTTATAAATTAAAGATTGCAATGCGTTTTTTTTTTTTTTTTTTTTTTTTTTTTTTTTTTTTTTTTTTTTTTTTTTTTTTTTTTTTTTTTTTTNTTCCTTTTTTTTTTTTTTTTTTTTTTTTCTTTAGAAAAAGTATAGGCTACCCGTCATTCAATGGAATGATAATCTCGAAAGAAAGCCATCTTACTGGGTCGAGGCTGGTTATCTCAATCGATGAATGTATTTTTTGGAAACTAAATAACTGGAAAACTCAGGTTTCATTTCTTCTCCACCCAAAATTTTACGTCTCGGATATGCCGGTATCTGCAAGGGGACGTTTTTCACATCTGGATGATTTTTCGTTTTAGTAGCTGTGGGGGTTTGATGAGTTTCGGTAGGTGGTCCTGTCGAACATAAGCAATATTTGCCAAGACACAGTAGATCCTCCATATTTATATAAACTTTGACAAAATAGAATAATAAACATCTCTGTTTCGGTAAGGCGTTTTCAACACAGTACTAAAACCGTTATATTTTTATTATATATATAATAAAATACATCATTATACGAGCGTATATAGATAGAAAAATGACTCATTATTAGTCGATTTGCAAAACAGTTAATACATAATTGTCTATTTTTTTAATGAGGAGACAGTAGTAACTTTATATAACTGAAGTTCAAAGCAATAAATCAGATTTGTTTCTAAGCTATGAAATCAAAGGGTTCAGTTCGTGACCCTTTAGAAAATCCAATACCATGTAGACCTCATAAAGATACTCTTATCTCTCTATACTTCCTGAGTCGCCACGTTGCTTCTCGTTTATAAACCTTAGACAATTATGTAATATAAATAATATTAAAGAATATAAGTTTATCTTTTAAAATAACGCATAACGCATGTTTATATATTTATATTTGTATTTATACGAGCTATTCGAACAATGAAAGGTTAAAAATTTAATCTCGGTAATACGTATAAATAAACAAGAAACTGGTTTATGTTATTTAAAAAAACTGTTGAATTCAGACTATCGTTAAATAACATCAAGTTTTTCTTTTTCCTTCAACAGTAGAGAATAGAAAAAAAAATGAATTAAAAAACTGAAATTAGATATCTTTATTCAATATTTAATCATTTCGCACATCATTCCTTAGCTGATATTTGATTAAATTTTATTAGTATAATACTTATTTATCCTGTAATAATTATTTAAACTGTTTCAATTTAATGACGTAGTTTAGATTCGATAATGTTTTTCAGTCTATACACAAGTCATTTGACAAGCTCAATGCGATAAAATACAGTTCGTTTTCTGTATCGTGTAATCTGCAATAACTTTAGTGGAACTGATAAGAGATAGTCCCTACATATATTTCTGATATATTAAAACACAGCTGACAACATCGGAGATAGTCTAGCATTTCCTTAATTGCAATAGGCCTGTTAATATTACTTGTCACGTACTCTGGGATCCACGCCCCGTTTTTCTGTAGGTCATCAGACGGAGAGGGAAGATGTAACTCTATCGCACCGGTGGTGACATCGACCAGAAAAAATTATCCCGAATGTTTTTCCAACCTCCCACTAGTATCCTATGCGCCCCTTAGTTTTCGGGGCTGGGAGAGAAACAGCGTGTCACCTGACACTTCTAACCCTCAGTGAGTTTTCTAAGCTCGATGCTTGTCATAGTTTGCTAGCCAGTCACATTATTTACCTGCCAGTTGATACTCAGCACGTGCTTATACATAGATATCTTTACTTCTCGTGTTTTGTATTTCTCACAGAGAGACAAACAGAGAGAAAAAAAGATATCTCACTTATGGGAGCCAGAAGATATTATAGTCGTGTCCGGACGTAATATAATGCCTTACCACAATGCAGAATTACATAAAGCATGACAGCTATGTGTTTATGTACACAAGTGAGAGACAAAATATTATATTCTCGAGTAGTCTTTATAAATTATTTTAAAAAATTCTGTAGAAATAATATTAAATACATTTTTATAATCACGGAAAATGACCTGGAAAATATTTATTTACGGCAAATAAATTTAAGAAAAAAGAATATTTGAATAAAAATTAAATAATTATTTTTAAAATATTCCACTTTAAATTTCTGCTATATATTTTGTGATAAAATATTTCCAACATTAATATGAAGGCCAAAAATCAGATTTTAAATATAATTCAAACAGTAATTTATGTAAATTACAACTTTGAATGAAATATGTTTAGAAAAATTCGACTGTTTCGTAAAAATAAGCAAGGACAAATTTAAATTGCCGGAAAGTAACATACAGAATCAATATTTCAAAATTTAAATTTATTCTAAAACAAAAAATAAGCAGAAAAGAAAAATTGCCTTCCTATTATTACTGACATAAATAGAAACATTACACATACGTTATAAATAAATATTAATTTATCTATTAATAAAATGAAATTATTAAAAGTCTTTCTTGTTTATAAAAGACAGTTTTTAAATGTCATACACATTAATTTTTAAAGGTGCATTCATTTTGTCCAAATAGTGTATGTCTATTTGACGTCATTCTTCTAGTTTTCTTGTGAGAAAAGTAATAATGACATCGATTTGACTTAAAAGTATGCACTATTTAGACAAAAGGAATAATTCAAACATTTTAAATCTAGATGTCGTAAATTTCGGCATGATAAAATATATATTTTCTATTATATTTTAAAATTAACTTTATTATGGTTTTAACATAAAAATATAAAACTTTTATAGTAGTTACCACAAATATTACTCTAAAATTTATATAAAAAAAGCATGAACAATTGTGGTCACATCAGTTTATAAAGATGATGAACTCTATTCTTCGTTTGAAGAAATTAAGGAAGCAATTATCAAAATTTAACAAGAAATTGACAAAAGACTTCTGGAGTAATTAATTATCAGTATAAAGGGGCCGTCCATTAGTTATGAGTATGGTTTAAGAAAGGAGGGGGAAGGTCGCTTAAAGTAAGATACATCACTGTAAACGATAGGGAAGTGAGGGTCGAAGCGTTGTTTACGTGGAATTTTTTGGTGGCATTGATGGCATTAAAATGTTCTCTTATAGGCCTTCTTACAAACCATGTGGATAAACTACCAGTTAGAAAATATTTGCAGAACTTTTAAAGTTGTTTCTTTGATGTCAGGGAGTCCACGAGCTATTGTACTGTACAGTGCATCTTATTAAAGGAAAGTACTGTACTGTACTGTACATCAATACTGTATACTGTACACAACATAACAGGGAAGGCGTCAAAAAGTGGCTCAGAAACTATACACATTTACAAATTGGAAATACATTAACTCTATATATTTTTAAAATTTACCACTAATATTTAACTCAGATAATTTATTTCATTTTATTAAATAGTAAAAACTCTAAAAAGTTTCAATTGAATCTACGATAATAACGACTATAACTTTTTATATTTCTTTAATCACAAATGAATTTTATACACATACATTATTCAATTATATTGTGAAACTTTCACCTATAAGTTCATTAAAACAAAAATATAAATAATACTATATTGTTTCTCACTGTATATACAAAGATCAAACTGAAATACTATCTATAAATTACTATGTATTAACAGTTAAAAATGTATATGCAAGTTATAATATTTTGATAAGTTGAATTCAGCAATTAAAATGATTATTTGATTGCATATTTAAATTTACCGAACAGTTAAAAATAGTTTAATAAACACTGAAAAATAAATTAATAAATGCATTAAAACATCAAATATTTTAAAATATAGACAGTATTTAAATATACTATGTGTAATATATTTTGCAATTTGTATACTCTTTGTATATTATATATATTTAATTCTTTTAAAATATACAGTTTGTTATATTATACATTTCTTATACAATCTATTGTATGAGAAATACATGCGGATTACAATTTAATAATCCAAGCTATTTATATTAAAATGTATTTTATTAATATTAAATGCGAGATAAAATATAAATCATTTAAGATAATGATATTGCACATTTTTCCTCAAAAGATTGTAATATTTGATACTAAAATGTTGTTTATTTAACAAGTTTAATGCATATGAAATTTAAACGTGTGTTTATTTTAAACAAACACTGTGACAGGATATATGCTGATATCAACTTCTTAAGTACGATTTTCCCCGCAATTAATATAAATTTTCGACGATAATAATGATGTTTTAAGTTTAATGTATTTAATTTGCATCTTTTATTTTTCTTGTATTTTCATTCTATCTTGTATTTAGGAAACTATTAGATATACATCGATAAATTATGTCTAAATAGGATATGCATTTCGAGCTTTTGATTTTATTTATTTATTGTGAATGAAAAAGGCGGGAATATGGTTTAGATTTTTTAAAAATTGATTGAAATAAAAATATTAATATTTTTAAGGAAAAAATTTTTATAGTTTTACTTGGAAAACTCCCAAAAATTATATTTAATAATATTTCCAATATAAAGGTTATCTTGTTAGAAAATTTTGCGACTTTGCCAATGACAACTCAGTGATTCAAAATAAAACAAGCTTCACTGTGAATACTTTTATAAACTTAAACCCGTTGCTCGGATTTATAATTTAAAATTGTAAATATTTCAGGTGCAGAGATTGCCCATTTCCGTACGCAAGAAGAAATTACACAGATGGAAGATGCACTTGCGATTGCTTCGATCGCCATAAACCTTGTTTGAAGGTTAAAAGAGGAAGAGAGGCGTTATCCGAAGTAGAAAGAAGGTACTTAAAATAATATATTAATTATGATTTTTAAATTTTAAAATAATTATGTGACCTTCCAGATGCGTCGAAATTCATCATTGCCATAGACCCGAATGCGAATACGGCGATTTCGACGTAAATACAGGAAAATGTCCTAAAAGACCGGACGATTTTCATCGTCCTTCACACAAACGGCACAATCCAAATTATCCTAGCAGATGGACTCATATCGAAAGAGATTAAAAATTAAGATTGAAATACGCAAACAGATAACCTAGTCCAACATTCTAGAGGACATCTCGACTTTCGCCTTGTCCTCGTCAAATACGAATGTTAGATATTATTATCTGACATATACTGCCAGCATTGCTCAGGACTGTGTAAATACAGTAGTTGGGTTGATAATCCAATAGAGCAAATTAGTTTTTCAACAGAATTATTATTAGCAGACATATCTGCCTGAGAAACGGAGAATGATATATTTTCGCTCTTTCTCGTACCAAAAATATCAAAAAAAATAAAAAAAAACAAAAAAAACTTGGCTGTTACGCGTGAAGAATTGCAGAAAATGCAAAATAATTGAAAGTTTTTAAACGTATTACAAGGAATTTCCGTCCTTTCTATTATATTATTTTTTTCCGCATGTCAAAGCCGAGTGCAAAAATCGATGACGTGCCTCAAAGTTTGAGGTGTATAAAATATTTTTCAAGCGATTTGCATATATGCAAAACGATATATTAACAAGAAAAGAGTCGTATTAATAAAGTTTTAAGAATGATCATTTATATATAATTTACAACAATATTTTTTAAATGTCGAGAAGCTTCAAAGTAGAAGTTCTGCACATTTGTGAAGATGCTTTCTGCAGCCTAATCACACCATTATTATTAAACGCCACAAAATTAATGATCTGATACCGTGTAAATGTAACTATCTCTTGCGTGTTTAACGTTCAAATGTGAAAACGTCCAATTTAGAAACAGAATGAAGTTGTGCATTTTGTATATTGTTGATAATTAGTTAAGCCTCGTTAAACATTAATTAAGAATTTGTAATAAAATTTTTATTTTATGTTCTATTAAAATATTTATTTATTTATAATGTATGTAAATTTAACACCGACATTTTTCATTTCCATATTTCGATATTATATACAGTATACGTTGTGATATTATTTATATTGAATAAGAACATCTGAAATCTTCTTTATAAGTCAATTATAAACTTGAAAAAAATAATTAAGGAAGAAAGATCTTACACGATTGCATTGAAAACGTGAAAAAACTAGAAATAGAGCAATAAAAGTTATTTTTATTGCTATCTGTGCCAATAAAAATAACTTTTGATTCCAGCTTCAGGAAGTAACTTGTGTTCTCTCAATTATTAACACTTAATTTCGATTTAACTTCATATTTAATTTTTTATAGACATAATTTGATAGTAATAAACATTTCCACTTAGATTTACACATTTCTAAACTAAAAAATAAAAACAAAATTAGAAACTTTACTACAAAAATTCATAAAATCTCATTGTAAAAAAATCCTGTCTAATCAAAATTTTTATACCTTAGAATTACAAATATTTTCATTTTTAAAGATACAATTAAATAAATACAGTGATTTTTTCCATTAAATTCTTATTAACATTTACTGTAGAATTGTTATACAGGATGGGGCATATATTCGGTTTGTCCTGACGGGAAAACAATGTAATTTTTGAACAGTTTGTTAGAAACGATTTGTGTTTGAGAATTTGAAAGGGGGACAGTTAGTGCACACTGTACAAGTAAGCAAACAATAAACATAGAATTTGGTTCCAGATTTATAACTCTGGTCGCACCGGAAAAGGCTGGAGGCGATCCCGTTTAACCCCGATTTAAACCCTCTATACTTGGCAATATCGGACAACTAAAGATAAAATTTCTCTCCAATGGCAACTTTCAGATTCTTTAGAAGTGCATCAGAGATGTAATGAAAGAAATTTCGGCAGAGATCAGACGACGTATTATTGACCAATTTTATGAATGCCTACAGAATTTATTTTTGTCTGACGGCAAACATTTTGAATATTGTATTTCATAGTCCGTTTACTACTAAATTAATTGCATTTATACTTTTTGAAAAATTTAATTTTTCTTCCAAGACATAATGTACAGTACATACCCACCCTGTAAATTTTAAATCTAATTTTTATACAAATTATTATATTAATACGTAAAAAGAAATTTTTAACTAAATATAATATTTGTTAAACATTTCTTAGATACTATAGTACATTCTATTAGTGTATAACACATATTAAGCGAGAAAGCTATAAATAATGTATAGAATTTAAGTGTATTAAACACAGCCTATCCATTCTAATAAATTTATAACTAGCAGACCCCGCCACGAGTTGTTGTGGCTTAAAATGTATCTATTATAAATGTATAAAACTTCCCC